TGTATGTGTGTGTAAATAGACATATACTGTGACAGTTATGTATATTAAAAAACATCTTCCTACGGCAATAAATACTACCCGTTTATGATATAATTGCATATTTACAGCTTATTAAGAGTTTTTAAGAAATAGTTTAAAAATTTCTGTGGGTACATAGTGGGTGTATATCTTTTTGTTTTGTTTTGTTTTGTTTTGTTTTTTTCTTGAGGCAGAGTCTCACTCTTTTGCCCAGTCTGAAGTGCAGTGGTGCAATCTTGGCTCACTGCAACCTCCATCTCCTGGGTTCAAGCTGTTCTCCTGCCTCAGCCTCCCAAGTAACTGGGATTACGGGTACTCGCCACCACACCCGGCTAATTTTTGTATTTTTAGTTGAGATGGGGTTTCACCATGTTGGCCAGGCTGGTCTTGAACTTCTGACCTCAAGTGATCCACCTGCCTCAGCCTCCCAAAGTGCTGGGATTATAGGCTTGAGCCACTGCACCCAGCCCATAGTAGGTGTATGCCTTTATTAGGTATGTGAGATATTTTGGTACAGGTATGAGATTATTTGGTAATAGTCACATCATGGAAAATTGGATATACCATCCTCTCAAGCATGTATCCTTTGTGTTACAAGCAATCCATTATACTCTATTAGTTACTTTAAATGTACAATTATTTTATTATTAAACTATAATAATTCTGTTGTGCTATCAAATACTAGGCCTTTTTCATTCATTCTTTTTTGTTTTTGTTTTTGTTTGTTTGTTTTTTGAGATGGAATTTGGTTCTTGTTGCCCAGGCTGGAGTGCAATGGCACGATCTCTGCTCACCGCAACCTGAGTTCAAGTGATTCTCCTGCCTCAGCCTCCCAAGTAGCTGGGATTACAGGCATGTGCTACCACACCTGGCTAATTTTGTCTTTTTATTAGACAATCTCCGCCTTCTGAGTTCAAGCAATTCTCCTGCCTCCATCTCCCAAGTAGCTGGGATAACAGGCGTGTGCCACCACACCTGGCTGATTTTTGTATTTTTAGTAGAGACAGGGTTTCACTATGTTGGCTAGGCTGGTCTCGAACTCCTGACCTCAGGTGATCCACCTGCCTTGGCCTCCCATAGTGCTGGGATTACAGGCGTGAGCCACCATGCCTGGCCCTGGCTGATTTTTGTATTTTTAGTAGAGGGATTTCACCATGTTGGCCAGGCTGGTCTCAAACTCTTGACCTCAAGTGATCCGCTGACCTCGGCCTCAAAATGCTGGGATTACAGGCATGAGCCATGATGCCCTGCCTTTTCTATTCTTTCTATTTTTTTTTTTTCGTACCATCCCCACCTTCCCCCATCCTCCACTACCCTTCCCAGCCTCTGGTAACCATTCTTCTATTCTCTGTGAGTTTAATTATTTTGACTTTCAGATCCTACAAATAAGTGAGACTATGTGATGCTTGTCCTTCTGTGCCTGGCTCATTTCACTTAACCCAATGACCTCCAGTTCCATCCACGTTGTTTCAAGTTCCATTTTTTTTAATGGCAGAATAGTACTCCATTGTGTATAAATAACACATTTTCTTTATCCATTCATCTGTTGATGGACACTTAGGTTGCTTCAAAATCTTGGTTATTGCGAACAGTGCTGCAACAAACATGAGAGTGCTGATATATCTTCGATGTACTGATTTTCTTTCTTTTGGATATATACCCAGCAGTGAGATTGCTGGATCATGTAGTAGCTCTTTGTTTAGTGTTTTGAGGAACCTCCAAACTGATCTCCATAGTGGTTGTGCTAATTTACATTCCCACCAATAGAGTATTGAGGGTTCCCTTTTCTCTGCATCCTCAGCAGTGTTTGTTATTCCCTCTCTGGATAAAAGCCATTTTAACTGGGGTGAGATGATACTTCGTTGTAGTTTTGATTTGCATTTCTCTAATGATCAATGATGTGGAGCACTTTTTCATATGCCTGTTTGCCATTGTCTTCTTTTAAGAAATGTTTATTCAAATCTTTTCCCATCTTTTAATCGGATTTATTAGACTTTTTCCCTGTGGAGTTGTTTGAGCTTCTTATATATTCTGATTATTAATCCCTTGTTAGATGAGTAGTTTGCAAATATTTTCTCCCATTCTGTGGGTTGTCTCTTCACTTTGCCAGCTGTTTCCTTTGCTGCACAGAAGCTTGTTAACTTGATGTGATCCCATTTGTTCATTTTTGCTTTGGTTGTCTGTGCTTGTGAAGTATGACTCAAGAAATTTTTGCTCAGACCAATGTCCTGGAGAGTTTCCCCAATGTTTTCTTACAGTGCTTTCATAATTTGAGGTCTTAGATTTAAGTCTTTATTTTTATTTTATTTTTCTATAAGGTGAGATAGGGGTCTAGTCTTATTCTTTTGCATATGGATATCCAGTTTTTCCAGCACCATTTAATGAAGAGATGGTCTTTTCCCCAATGTATGTTCATGGCACCTTTGTCAAAAATGTGTTGACTGTAGGTATGTGGATTTGTTTCTGGGTTCTCTGTTTTGTTCCATTGGTCTATGTGTTTTTGTGCCAGTACCATGCTGTTTTTGTCTGTAGCTTTGTGTGAAGTCAGGTATTGTGATTTCTCTAGTCTTGTTATTTTTACTCAGGAGAGCTTTGGCTATTTTGGATCTTTTCTGACTCCATGTAAGTTTTAGGATTGCTTTTTCTATTTCTGTGAAGAATGGCATTGTGATTTTTGTGGGGATTGCATTGAATCTGTAGATTGCTTTGGATAGTATGAGCATTTTAACAATATTGATTCTTCCAATCCATGAATATGGAATAGCTTTTCATTTTTGTGTTTGTGCCCTCTTTAGTTTCTTTCACCAATGTTTTGTAGTTTCTGTTGTAAAGGTCTTTCCGTTTTTTTTTTTTTTCTGAGATGGAGTCTTGCTCTGTTGCCAGGCTGGAGTGCAGTGGCACGATCTCAACTCACTGCAACCTCTGCCTCCCGAGTTCAAGTGATTTCCCTGCCTCAGCCTCCCGAGTAGCTGGTACTACAGGTGCATGCCACCACACCCCACTAATTTTTGTATTTTTTGTAGAGACGGGGTTTCACCATGTTGGCCAGGATGGTCTTGATTTCTTGACCTCATCATCCTCCTGCCTTGGCTTCCCAAAGTGCTGGGATTACAGGCGTGCGCCACTATGCCCGGCCATCTTTCACTTCTTTGGTTCATTCCTAGGTATTTGATTTTATTTGTGGCTGTTGTAAATGGGATTACTTTTTAAATTTGTTTTTTATATTGTTTACTGCTGGCATATAGAAATGCTACTGATTTTTGTTATGTTGATTTTGTGTCCTGCAACTTTGCTGAATTTGTTTATCAGTTCTAATAGTTTTCCTTTTTTTTTTTTTTTTTTAAATTGGGCATGGTGTCATTTGCCTATAGTCCCAGCTACTGGGGAGGCTGGGGTGGAGTGTGGAAGTATCTTTCTCTTTTTTTTTTTTTTTTTAGATAAGGTCTCGCTCTGTTGCCCAGGCTGGAGTGCAGTGGCAAGATCTTGGCCCACTGCAGCCTCTGCCTCCCAGGCTCAAGTGATCCTTCTGCCTCAACTTCCTGAGTAGCTGGGGCTACAGGCACATGCCACCACGCCTGGCTAATTTTTGTATTTTTTGTAGAGATGGGATTTTGCCATGTTGCTGAGGCTGGTCCTGAACTCCTGGACTCAAGAGATCCACGTGGCTCAGCCTCCCAAAGTGCTAGGATTACATGTGTGAGCCACTATGCCCAGCCCTCTTGTGGAATCTTTAGGTTTTTCCAAATATAAGCTCGTATCACCTGCAAACAAGGATAATTTGACTGTTTGCTTTTCCTTTCCAATTTGGAAGCCCTTTATTTCTTTCTCATCTGATTGCTTTAGCTCAGACATCTAGTATTATGTTGAATAACAATGGTGAAAGTGGGCATAGTTTGTCATGCTCCAGATCTAAGAGGAAAGGCTTTCTGTTTTCCCCCATTTTGTATGATACTAGTTGTGGGTCTGTCATATATAGTTTTTATTATGTTGAGGTCTGCTATTTCTATACCTAGTTTTTTGAGGGTTTTTATTATGAAGGGATATTGAACTTTATCAGATAATTTTTTGGCATCAATTGAAATTATTATATGGTTTTTGTCCTTCAAAGAATGGAGTTTTAATTTTTAGGCAATTTCATTTAAAGTGACTTTTTTAAACCTTGATATCAAATATATATGTTTGCATTATATATATAATGCAAATACATGAGCAGTTCTGTCTATTGATGTATTTTCTAAAAAGGCTAATCTTATTACACAGTGTTTAATTCTTTTTTTCTTTTTTTTTTGAGATAGTCTCGCTCTGTCATCCAGGCTGAAGTGCAGTGGTGTGATCTTGGCTAACTGTAACTTCCACCTCCCTGGTTCAAGCGATTCTCCTGCCTCACCCCCTGAGTAGTTGGGCTTACAGGTGCCCATTAGCATGCCTGGGTAATTTTTGTATTTTTGTATTTTTAGTAGAGTTGGGGTTTCACCATGTTGGCCAGGTTGATCTCAAACTCCTGACCTCAAGTGGCCTCCCAAAGTGCTAGGATTACAGGCATGAGCCACTGAGCCCGTCCAAGTTATTTACTAAGAATTTTTATTATACATTGAGAAAAGGAGACATTTTTTTTTTTCCTAGTGGAATGCTATATATTCAAGTTTTAAATGCTTTTACGTATCTAATCTTCTTATGTTGGGTTATTGGTTTCGAATTTTGGAAGCGATACCTTCCAAATTCTTTTATTGCCTCTTATAACAGTTTAAAGCTAATTTGATTGAATACCTTTTGATCTTCTTTCTGTAGCTGTTAACTTTTTTCTTTTATTAAAATTAAAATAAAATGTGTGAAGGACCTGAAGAGAAATCAATTTTGGTCTATTTTTCTTTTTGCTTCTTTTTTTTTTAAAATCAGTAGAAAGCTTTATTTGCCAGGCTAAACGATAAACTAACATCATGATTTAGGCTAAGTAAAAAACTAATATCATCTTTTTCTTTCAGATCTCTATAAAAATGGACTCCAAAGAGCTAACTTTGTACCATTCATAGCAGTCTTGAAGGTAAAAACAAATCTTTTATTTGTGTTTACTAAGATCATACTTATTGATAATCAAGGGCTTTAGTAGGATTGCCTTGGTCTTGGCATTCAAGGATAATTTATTTTGGCATTTAGATAGTAATAGTCAGGGGCTGGGCACAGTGGCTCATGCCTGTAATCCCAGCACTTTGGGAGGCCAAGGTGGGCGGATCACAAGATCAGGAGTTCAAGACCAGCCGGACCAACATGGTGAAACCCCATCTCTACTAAAGATACAAAAATTAGCTGGGTGTGGTGGCATGCACCTGTAATCCCAGCTACTGGGGAGGCTGAGGCAGGAGAATCATTTAAACCCTAGAGGCGGAGGTTGCAGTGAGCCAAGATCACACCACTGCACTTCAGGCTCGGTGACAGGGCAAGACTCTGTCTCAAAAAAAAAAAAAAAGAGACTAGCCAGGACAACACGGCAAAACCTCTTCTCTAGATAGTAATAGTCAAAGACACTAAAGGAGAAAGGAATCTTTTGATATAGTATTCATCCATGCGTACACTGAAAAAATTACAAAATATAGTCTAAATTATTCTCTAACTGAAACATTGAATAGTTTGCATTTTATAAATTTTAATTTGAAGTTTGCTCATAAATATTATAGTGGAATGTTTAAACTTATACATTTATTTCTGAAAAAAATGTTTAATGTTCCCTGTTTCCTTCAGGTTAATGGCCATTATTAACATGTTTTCCCAGCTATTAAAGTTGCTATTCTAGAATAGCATTATTACAAAAATATTCTAATATATTTAAATGTGATTGCCATCAAGTTATGAAATTATGTCAAGTTGAGGCACATAAATAGTTTAAATATTTGTGTGTATCAGCACTGCATAGAGTTTAAAATAGTCTTCATTAAAATATGATTAAGAATAAAATAGCCTCCTTTTTTACTATTGATTTTAAGTAATATTTTACATGATTATTTAATGATTTCACATTCTGCCAATATTTGTTGAGAACCTACTATGTACAATGTGTGGCGTTAGGCATAATGGATAATAGAATTATGAACTAAGCTGTTTTTCTGGCACATTATTTATAATCTAGTTGATGACATAACATATATACAAAAAAGCAAAATTTGCCAAAATATAATTCCCATAATTTTAGATAAATACTTTTTCCCCATGCACATCAACGTATCTGAAGAAAGGATAAAGTATTTTTTAAAAATTGAAAGCTTAAAAATTCTTACCCAAGAAGGGTTAAAATATTTTATCTTAAGACATTCTAAAGGCATAATCAGACAATCTTTTTGACATGTACTTTGGTTGGAATTATTGTTGGTGCCAAACTTTATTCCCTATGCTATACTTAGGAGAACTCAGACATCTGTTTCCTTGACCAATTTTAGGTTCCTAAGGATTTTAATTTCTCGGAGATATTTATAGATGTAGGAAAAGTACTTTTGGAAGATTTATGCTGTTAGTAATTTTTTCCCTTTATATTCATGCTTTGCATTTAGGGAGAACATAAACTTGCAATGTTTTCTCCATGCTAGGAATCCAAAGTAATATGGTATACACAGATACCAAAATATAAACAGGAAGCTAGGAAAAACAGGTGCTAAAAATAGTGTCTTCATATAGCATAAAATTCACAAAATACAAAAAGAGACGTCTCAGAAAGAAACAAGTTAAGAGGTTCCGAGGGAACAACTTTGTAGCTGTACTTTTTTTTCCTCCAAATATTTTGTTGTTGTTTTATTTGGCCATTAATTTGTCATACTTCAATATATAATAGCAGTATTAATAGGCAAAATGAATAGTATACAATTTGAAATTGAACATGAACTGAGATATATAATATACAATTTAAAGTTGAACATGGACTGAACTTCCCAGGAAACTAAATATCAGATTAGATGAGAAAAGGTCTAAAATGTCTAATTTATTCAAGAGACTTTTCATATATAACAAAACATCAATGAAATGAAAACTAGAGCTGGTTTCTCTGAAGCTTTTCTGTTTGGGCATATAAAGTTTCTTTTGTAAGGAAGGGTAGTTTAATATTAACTTAAGTGACATTTTGCCTCTTCACAGCTGCTAGTGTTACTTCTTCTTTCTGGCCCAGCTGAGAGAAAGGTGTAGCAGAAGTCAATCTTAAAACAAATTGAGAATCTTAGTTTCATGAAAAGAAATTATTATAAACAAGATAGAAATTTGTTGAGGAAAAAGTACATTGTAAAATTCATTTTTTAAAATGTTCTTCTCTATAAACCAAATAGTTACAAGTTCATAATTCACCACAAAAGCTTGTGGTTTGTTGCTTAGGATATTGAAAGATAACAAAAACTAAACTACGCTCTTAGTAAAGCCTGCTTTATGGCCCAACATGTGGACAATTTTTGTAAATATTTTCTTTAAAATATTTCTTCAAAGTAGTGAGTACTCTTCAGTTGTTGTGTGTTATTGTGTAGGTTTATTAATTATGCTGTTCAAATCTTTATTCTCATATTTTTTTCCTATCAATTACTGAGAGACTTATGGGAAACATCTCACTATAATTGTGAATTTGTCTATTTTTCTTGTAATTCTGTCATTTGCCTTACATATTTGGAGGCTATGTTATAAGTTGCATATAGATTTATAATAATTATTTTATTTATTTATTTGCTTATTTATTTTGAGACAGAATCTTGCTCTGTCACCCAGGCTAGAGTGCAGTGGTACAATATTGGCTCACTGCAACATCTGCCTCCCAGGTTCAAGCGATTTTCCTGCCTTAGCCTCCTGAAAAGCTGGGACTACAAGTGCATGCCACCACACCAGACTAATTTTTGTATTTTTAGTAGAGATGGGGTTTCAGCATGTTTGCCAGACTGGTCTCAAACTCCTGACCTCAAGGGATCTGCCTGCCTTGGCCTCCCAAAGTGCTGGGAGTACAGGTGTTAGCCACCACACCTGGCCAGATTTACAATGGTTAAATACTGCTTGTGAATGGAACTTTTAAATATTATTTAGTAGCATTGCCCCTTCTTTTCAGGTATATTTATAACCATCTCTTGAAACATTGTTATCATGAGTGCTTTAAAATCTTTATCAGATAATTCTAACGTCTTTTTCATCTTGATGTTGCCATTTCTTTACATTCAGTTTGAGATCTTCCTGATTTTTTGTATAAGTGATTTCCAATGGAAACTGACATTTTCATAATTTGTCATTAGACTTTGAATCTTAATGTTTTAACCAAACTTTTTATTGTGGCAAAATATACATAACAAAAATTACTATTTTAATGATTTAGTTATTTACATTTTGAGACAGGGTCTCACTCTGTTGCCCAGGCTGGAGTGCCGTGGCACTATCATAGCTTACTACAGCCTCGACCTCCCCAGCCTCAGGTGATCCTCCTGCCCCAGCCTCCTGAGTAGCTGGGACTGCAGGCGTATTCCACCATGCCCAGCTAATTTTTTTATTTTTTGTAGAGACAGGGATTCACTATGTTTCCCAGGCTGGTCTCGAACTCCTGGGCTCAAGTGATTTGCCTGCCTCCACCTCCCAAAGTGTTGGGATTAAAGGCAAGAGTCACCACACCTGGCCTATTTTAATGATTTTTAAGTGTGCAGTTCAGTGGCATTAAGTACATTCACATTGTTTTACAAGCACCACCATGATTCATCTCCAGAATTTTTCATCTTATCAAACTGAAACTCTATACTCACTAAATAATAACCACCAGTTGTCCCCCTTTCCCAACGCTACTTACCACCGTTCTGCTTTCTGCCTCTGTGAATTTGTCTTTTCTAGATACTTCATGTAAGTGGAATTACCTAATATTTGTCTTTTTATTTCTGGCTTATTTCACTTAGCACAGTGTCTCCAAGATTTATGCATGTTGTAACATGTGTCAGAATTCTTATCCTTTTTATGGCATAATAATATTCCATTGTAAGGATATGCTACATTTTGTTTATCCATTCACCTGTCAATGGATATTTGGGTTGTTTCTACCTTTCAGCTATTATGAATATTGCTGCTTCGAACATTTGTGTACAAATATCTGTTTGAGTCCCTGCTTTCAATTCTTTTGTGTACATACTCAGAACTGAAATTGCTAGATCTTATGGTAATTATATGTTTAACTTCTTGAGGAACTGCCATACTGTTTTCTATAGCGGCTGTACCATATTACGTTCCCATCAGCAATACACAAGCATTCCAATTTCTCTGCATTTTCCCCAACATTTTCTTTTTCCTTTTTTTTTTTTTTTGGTAATAGCCATCCCAGTGGGTGTGAAGTGGTATCTCATTGTGGTTTTGATTTGCTTTTCCCAAATGATTAATAATATTGAGTATCTTTTCATATGCTTATTTTATTGATTGACTGATTGATTGATTGAAATGGAGTCTTGCTGTGTCACTCAGGCTGGAGTGCAGTGGCATGATCTTGGCTCGCTGCAACATCTGCCTCCTAGGTTCAAGTGATTCTCATTCCTCAGCCTCCCGAGTAGCTGGGATTACAGGCATGTGCCACCATGCCCACCTACTTTTTGTATTTTTGGTAGAGATGGGGTTTCACCATGTTGGCCAGGCTGGTCTTGAACTCCTGACCTCAGGTGATCCGCCCACCTCAGCCTCCCAAAATGCTGAGATTACAGGTGTGAGCCACTGCGACTGGCCTTATCTTCTCTTTTTTTCAGATTGGGCAACATCTCATTCTATAAAATAGATTGTTACTCTGTTTCTCTTTGTGGATCTTATTTGAACTTTCTGTTTTAGTTAGCCCTTTTTAGACATTATTCTTCAAGAGAAGGGGAGGCACTGCTTCCTTTACTGCCAGATATAGCTAGAAATCCAGGTTCCCTATTCAGCCTCCATTGACACCTGAGCTGTGGTTTGGGGTGTGCTCCTTGTTACCTGTTACTGCTGGAAAGAGGGTTCTGACTCCCGGTGATCTCCACTGATATCACTGTGGGAGGAGCATACTCATACTGGTTGGCTGGGATGAAAGTTCCAGTTCCTACC